GTCTATACAAATTGTGAGATACTATACAAATTGTGTGTATCATACTATGCATTTTATATCTTCTCCTGTCACTGTTCTTCATTGATGTGTTCTTCATTGATACTATATTGTGAGATACTATACAAATTGTGTGTATCATACTATGCATTTTATATCTTCTCCTGTCACTGTTCTTCATTGATGTGCACCCCCTCCCCCGCTCCTCTCTTTTGAGCTTCTCTTCCTCTTGGCATCTTCAGTGCTTTGCAATTGCTCAGACTCACAATATTTGGCCAGGCAACAGAGGGAGGAGGAAAAAGACAGAACTGTCCGAATCTAGGGATGGCGACTGAGTAGAAGCTTGGCTCCCCACTCCCCCCTTCATCCAGCAGCGAGAAAAGGTTAGAAAAGTGGATGGAATGTGGCTTAAGGGTCATCTTCCATAGCATAGCCCACTGTCATGAACTCAGAAAATTTGGTAAAAACTTTTCATCTCCCAGAGCTGGAACAGGTTTTAGGATCTGGCTCCAATCTTGCCCACTCTTCCAACCAGGAAATGTCACATTTGGGAAACAAAAACCAGGAGTCTTGGCTTCCACTCCTATATTTCCAGTGATTGCTAAATATGTTCTCTGAACTGGGGCTCTGGATCCCTGAGTCCTCCCCTCAGTTCTAAATGACCGAATGGTGTGTCATGAGAGATGTAGTTAAAGGATGCTTTGAGTTCAGAAAACTGCTTACTCCATCTTTGCACAATTCATGGCCTTACCTACTTCCAGTCAGTCAGTGCTGCTTGTCTGGATCAGAATGGATAGCGTCCTTTTCTTGCTGTTGACATGACATGAACTTGGACTTCTTGCTGACAGGAGAGGATGGTGCATCTCTGCATGAGTCTCTGCTCCAGTCTTTGCATTTTTCATCCAGAAGGCCAACTCGGAACACTCACAAGAAATTCAGAGGGCCAGATTCTTCATGGAATCAGCAATGCCCAGCTCTGTGTACTCTACAAAAGTATCGTACATGTCATTACCAAAAGGGGCATCCAACTTTAAACACTTTAGGAAACAGAAGTTTGGGAAGCAAAATGTACTTGCTGTTACACGTAGGATATACAAAGAAGGCTTCAGATGTTTAGAACATAACTCTTCCCTCTTACTGGGAATTAAACTGATGCCCTTTCCTTGTAAATGTCATGTCACCCATAATGTCCGGCTCCACTTCCAAGCGAGGAATTCTAATCCCTGGGATGAATGCCATGGTGCCATTGTTCTATGTTTCTTTTTAAAAACCTCCCTTGTTTCCAAGGTTTTATTTCCATAAAGTTATTGCAGAAAATACAACTTTTGAAGGAGACATGGGCATCTTTTGATATGTAGGGAACATACTTCAGATTTGGAAAGGAGCTCAGGACCACAAAGCAGGGGAGGGGTGCATCACATGGGTGGGTGAAGCTGGGTTTTGAGTTTATGGTCTATGACCGTAATAAGGATTGATTTGATTTAGGTTTTGAGGGAGGGTTCTCTTGGTTTTTAACAGAGACGTGCTTATTGTAGATTTTATACTCAATCTGTTAATTTTTATCCATCAGTTTCTCACCCCAGAATGGAAAGAATCTGTATCTTCAGTTTTCAGCAGCAATAGCCAGAGAGGGCTTGAAGGGGCAAAATAGGGTACTCAGGCCACAAGCATGCAATATTGCCAGTTCCTGCTTTGAGAGAGACTTCAAGGGTATTCTCTATTCACTTGGGAGAGATTGTGAATGGATATATAAGAATGTTCAAGGCTTTTGTGGGAGGAGGAGGCCATGCTGTGCAGAATGGAAAAGAACTTTTTTCCCTGTATCTGGGATGTGTGGAGGAGAGTACATTGTGGGGCTATGGGAGTGCATATACTGGAAAAAGAAAAAAAAAGTTGCTTATATTACAGATCAGGGGCTGATTACGGTGAATTGTGTATCTGGGGCTTGGTTCTCACTCACTAAAGAAGCAAAATGAGCCCTTTGCAGCTCAGTGGTCTGTCATACAATAAAATATCCAAGTGTTGGAATGCTAGCATGCTGGGGAATAAGATTCAAAGTTAACCTTTTCTCTGACATGCAGTTTTAGGGTGGGCAGGGATTTTTTTGTTTTTTGGGGGGGTGGAGAAACATGCAGTCACATAACACAGACACCCACGCAGAGATATATCCAGGCAAAATCTTCCCCCCCCCCCCAAATCTAGGAATGTAAACAAAAGCAAAAGTCCTTAATTCTGTCCTGAGTTTACTAGGGCCAGACACCACGACCAGGGCAGCTATTTATGGCATAGGTATTATTTTGAGCTGTTATCTGCTGAACATGGGGTTTCTGCTCATTAGATGTCATGACAAGATGTAGTTACATTACCACCTGACGTTTCCCAGCTCTGTGTACTAGAGAAGACGCTGCTGGCTGCCTGCAATTGAACACAGGCAGCCCGAAGCTGTAGCTGCCCTCCTGCCTGACTTTGGTGGTTTGTTGGAGCGTGGGGAGGGTAAGTTGTGCTTCAGGAGCCCCAAGGCCTGTAATAATAAGGCTTGCTCAGAAGATCTTTTAGCACAGGGAGCCTTTGAGGAAGAGCTCCACCTCCAGCTTTGTACGTGCACATGACCGTGTGTGTGAATTTAGCGAAAGGAGATGCCCTTCATGTACAGAGCAGAGAGTCAAAATGAAGCAGGTTGGGAGGTCCTAGGAAGGCCCTCTGTGTTCTTCCATTGCTCATTGCTGAGCATATTCAGGCTTTGAAGAGGGAGCATTATGCTTTTCTCTTACTGAACTTCCTCTGGCATTAAAATCCTGAATTCTCAGAAGTTTCTAATTTCTCTTGTCTTATGCAATAACTGAATCAAATCCATAGGAGTGCTGCACTAAAGGTTTATGGGGCTGCCTCAGATGGAGTGGTGAATGTCAGGGAACTGCTATATCTCCCTGTTCTCTGATCAGTTTAATAAGTCTGCATGGAGAATGAACATTCTGAGACAGAGTGTGCAGATGGAAGGTGGGAGATCCTGGTAGCATCTAATTTGTTGGTTTAAGTGTTGTAATGGTATATGAATTACTACCTCCTGGGGCAATGATGTGGAAAGGCAAAAAAGAGATTACAAACATTTGAAGTGGAGTTAGGATAAGGAAGTGTTTGAAAACTCCAGTTCTGCTCTCTATTCCAAGAAGACTGACGTTCAGATAGCAGGTCAGGTTCCATTTTTAGTTCTTTTGCAGGATGATAGAGGGAAAGAATGATAGATGTTGGAGCCA